TGTGTGTGTGTGTGTGTGTGTGTGTGTGTGTGTGTGTGTGTGTGTGTGTGTGTGTGTGTGTGTGTGTGTGTGTGTGTGTGTGTGTGTGTGTGTGTGTGTGTTCTCTACTCGGAATGATGTACATGACTATATCGCAAACATTAATTGAAACATCACTGAGGAAGAAACTTTCTTTGGCATTCCGCTCTCCTCGCCCTCTTCCTATCAAAGATGGGGCAGGTAACTTCTATCCACATTTGTTTTCATTACAAGGCTATGTTTAATATTATAGAAAGAGCGTGTAAGAACCAACTTCAAAATAAAAGTGACCTAACAAAGAATGAATTGAATACTAAAATTAAAATGTATCATGAAAATAATACTCCGAACAAAATGTGTAATTATTAAGCGACAATTATGAATACACAAAAAATATACATTTTTAATATGGCACACAAATTGTAATTAGAAGAACAAATTAAATAGTGTAAATAATAGGTTTAAGTTTATAAAGACACTTTTCCAATTACCAATTTGACTTCCAAGTAGTACACTGGTTTTCAGATTAGTTTACTAGAACATGCTGTAAGTGTCTGGTGTGTATCACGGCAAAGCTTAAACATAGAGATATTTTGTATAAGCCGTTATCAGCCAGCCATTCCTTTGAGTTAAAACAAGGATGTGTGTGTGGGATTACCTCTTGGGTGGGTGTAGAGAATCTAAACGCCGTAGCACGCTGCCAGTCTCTCCTTCAGCAGGGGGGGGAACTGCTCTGAGAACTGCTGCCAGTTCTCCTCCCCGACCTGCTCCTTAAAGCCATGCAGGATCTGGAGAGGGACAGAAGAGGGGGGGGTGGGGATTAAATCAGGCACATCCGCAAGTAATCCTCAAGGGGTTAGACCATGGACTCCATACATTTACAGCTAATCTCTCATACTTCAACTATCTGATCCTTTGCTAGTTCCCTTAACGGTTCCTCTATAAAGAGTCCTGCATTTCAGCGTTTGATTTATTGGCTGAAGAAGCTTAAAGAAGGTCCACGATATGGATTTTTTTCAGCTGACACATCTAACTAATAATTACCACCTTCTTGTAATCGATCATTCCCTTTTCAAATAAGTTCTTAACCTTGTGTTTTTGCACACTTGGGCATTATAAAAAAACAAAGTCAGTTCATCATTGTAGTTTATATTGTGGTGGGTGACCCATTTTCTTTAAAGCAGCTCTTTAGCCAATGTTGTCTTTTAGTGGCAAAACTGAAAGACAACTTATTAACATCATCATACTTATTGTCCTAGTGTACCTATAGTTAAATTGCCGGTCACAGCATCGCTGGGCAAAAGAAGAAAGTATTGCTTTAAAATGCTGATGGTGTCAGGAAGCAGCCCAACAGGATGTGCACCATACATTTCCCTTACTGGGGCAAAGTCACTGTCAATTCAAACAGAAATAGCTTCTTGATACAGAACAGGCTATGAGGTTCATTTGCCCTTTTATGGATTCACTCTGCCGCCAACACACACTTAAATGTCTGTAAAGGAATATTATAGAACTAAAACAGAGATTCTCCAAAGTGTAAATACATGTCTTGGTGGATTTTGCAGATATATGATGTGACGGGGAGTGTGTTCTCTTCCTTGTTCTGCAGAACAAAAGCAGTGTCCTTGTGGCTGAGGTGAACACACACTGCTTCTCTTTCCCTCGCAGTAACTCACACAACATGGCGAGTTCACTTTACCCCTGATCAATCCACTCGTGCATCACCCTCACCTTATAGAACATGTCTCTCAAATCGTCTTTAGGGCTCACCCAGGAGGCCACTGCGTCACAGAAGAAGATGAAGTCCTGAACAGACACAGAGGAAGAGGGGAGAAGGTTTCAACATCAACAGGTGACACGGGGAAATGCATATAGAGCGCCATGACTTAAAGCCTACAGGGTGAATGTCTCACCTGCACCACGCCTCCTGGGTTCACACCGATCATCATGCAGATCCCCCGGAAGGCAGAGTCTTTCTCCTCGTTGTCTCTGATGTTCCTCAGGGACGTACACCTGCAGCAGGGAAATATTAAACAATAAGCAGCCATTAAAGTCAAAACATTCAAATGTTCCATTTTATTCTGACCTGCTGTTTCTGAACAGTTTTGATTGTTTCTTTGCCAGAATTCGAATTGACAGCATACCTAAACATTTGTAAAACGTTAAGCTTTTTCTTCCATGGCTAATTTTGCACTTTCATGCTTGCTTCTTAATATCTTCTAAAGGTTCAATAAAAACAGCCTGCCCTTATCTTGCCGTGTGGGAGGACATTTGTCTTTTTTTTTTTAAAGCTTGAAATGACTCATTGGTTCCTGCTGCTTGCTAATTTAATTGTTTTCTTGTGTGAGAGAAGCAGGATTTTAAAGAACGGCAGCTCATGATATGCAGTAATCACACAAAGAAGAAAATAAGAACAGAAATGAAAGTGTATTGCCTGAGGACTGGCGCAGACGTGTTTTGCATGTACAGAAGAGCTAACCGAAGAAGAGCAGGATGTACAAAGACACCACCGAAGAAGACTGTGGGCAGATGTTGTAAAGTAAAATCAAACCACGAAAGATGGCACATCATTTGGAATAATAGACACAGAAAAAGAGATGTAACATGCGCTCACCAGGGTCGGATGAACTGCGGCAGCACGGGCGCGACCTCCTGAGGACACACGTATCCTAGGCGACCGATGGTGATCGCTGGAGGAGAGAGAGAGAGAGAGGGGGGTCAGGACTGCTGTTAGAGACGGGTTTTGGCACTACCTGCGCTCATTTCACTTCTCTTTTTTGATGACTTTTGGATTTTGCATATAACTATAACATCCGTCTACTTTCCTTTGTAAAACAAGTATTACAAAACGTCTGTACCCGTGTTCTCCAGCAGGGTCTTGGGGGTGTTGGGTCGATTAATGATCTCAACCAGCTGGCTCAGAACCATAGCGATGTATGGCTGCATCTCCACGCCTGACAGAGACACAGAGCCATTATCTTATTTACAAGCACAGAACTGCATCACATGAAAACGATGCATTTGCTCAAACGCACCCATCTGCATGCAGATCTCTCCTATGGCCCAGGTAGCATTGTTGCAGACGGAGATGAACTCCGGGTTGAGATTTGTCCCGAGGATCGGCATGAATTCAGCTGTAGGACACGTCAAATGTTAGCATTAGGAACAGGCAAATAAAAAGGAGGAAGATTGAGTAATATATTTGCAACGGCAGAGAGTGAGAGAGATAATTACCAATACACGGTTTGACATGAGGGAAGCAAGCCTTGGTCAGGTCGCCCAGCAGAGCAAATGAGCTCTGTCTCACTTCAGGCATCGTATCCTGGGACAGAAGAGACAGAAAGACCAAGAGAAATGTGAACACGCACCATTAACAGAGACTGGAAATGGACCAGACCACTGAGTCACAGGATTATGACCTCAGTTTAAAAAGAAACAATATTACATTCCCACCATATAAGATCAAGTGTCGGTGGTTGGAATATATGGCAAAGTTCTCGGCCCTTAAGCCCCTGAGAGAAGTTTTTGGGGATCTCAGGTTTACAAAAAATTGGTAGGAAAGAAAACCTGAAAACATAATCAACATCAGCAGTGGGGCATAAAGATATTGCCAAAACATTGTTTAAGTATTAGAAATTGGATGCTAAATACAGACACTTCGGTTCTGACATGTCATAGTTGAGGATGAGCGGAGGCCAGTCAGATGCTGCGTGTGTGCAAGTGTCGATTCAATTAGTTAAAGTTAAATTAGACCAAATCTTAAAACAATTGACCAGCTCCATCTCACACACCATGAATAAATAGCAGTGGCAATACTAACACACCGTGGGTCATTTGTTGGGTCACATCAAGTGACCCAACAAGTTTGAGTTGAAATCAACTCACTTCAGACTAAATAAATTATTTGTATCAAGTGCAAGAAAAACTCATTAAAATTGTGTGGGGAAAAAAAACAAAAAAACACACAGGCTATCCTCACCTGCATGCACTGGAAAAGCAGCGTCATGATGTTACTGCGGGACACAAGTGTGTCCACGTGGCCCCCCAGTCCCTCAGCTAAACCGCTTAAAAGATCCAGAGCCACGATCATGAAATCCTTGTCCGGAGCTTCGTACTGGTCAGGCTGCTGACTGTACATCTGAGACACACAGAGGGGGGGAGAAAAGATCAGAGGGGGGGAAAGTGTCAATTATGTAAATCAGGGATGGGCAAATGGCGGCCCCCACCTCCTCTTTTTGCGGCCCTCAGATTAATTTAGAAACAATGTAATTAATTAAAAAATATATATATATATATTTATTTATTTTACTTGTAGTACTGATACCGTCCACTAGACTCCTAGTTACGTCGCGAGCATGATTTCAAATACCGCGAAATAATCTGTGACGCATTTGTGTGTATTGTGTTTGTTTCCCGGGGAAACCCTCACAAGAAACACCGGCTGTTGTTATGTCTGCTGTGACGTTAAGTTGCCTCTTGTAATTATGCCTTTACAAGTTTAAAAGTTGTATTTATCATCTGAATTTGGTGAAACAAGTTTAATATTCTTAAAACCAAGACTTTGTTTATTTGAAATCAGATGAAAACAAACTGTCACGGACCCTGCCGTGTTATCTATGATTACTACGCTTTTCATTCATAATTTCAGCGGGAGGGAGGGGGAGTGGTGCTGAGGAACAGCAGAGTGCGGGCTGACAGGTGTCTGTTGACATTGCCCTTATTGTGCGTCAGCAGAGACGGTGTGTCTTAGGTTCAAGTTAGACAACTAATGTCTGGGTTAGTGTTCATGACTTCATGTTTATGTCATCTTAATGGTTAATCTCAATACACAGACATTTTCCGTGCTTTCCAATAGTTTAAAATAGTTTTATTCCACTGTTTAATAACCTGTTCAATACAAACATGCCACTTGTAAATGAAATAATATTTGTTTAGTGAGCTTATTAGAGGATGTTCCCATTCTTTGGGGATGTTCCCTTTGATTGTAAAATGTCAATGAAGATGTCAGACTTCGTATATTTGTTAATAATTACAACACATGGAATTTGTGTGTGTGTGTGTTCCAAGTGAATCTGTCGGCCCCCTGGTGGCCAGTACATCAATGATGTGGCCCCCGCCACCATCAAAGTTGCCCATCCCTGATCTAGAGACACCTGATGGCTGGTAACTGCTTTGGTGCTCCTTATCTATGTTCTATGCAATCAGGTGATTC